TCACTTGTGTGAATGGATGAATTAATTCCTTTTTTTCTTCAATTAGCTCCCTGGCTAATTAAAAAAAAGAGACATCTATGGCTACCTTAAGGTTTGAAAAAATAAGGCACCATGCACACTAGATTAAAAAAAAGACACTTTTACATGCGTTTGGTGTTTTTTTTTTTCTTGGCTATAAAATGCACCTTTTTTAGCCTATGTGTCCATGTACATGTGATTAAAAGATGAGTTTACAGGCAGAAAAAAGTAAAAACAATTACCAGTGCATTCAGGAGAGGAGCTTTTGGGCAGAAAAACCGCCGACCAGGGGCGGACTGACAACTCATGGGGCCCCCGGGCAATAGGGGATCATGGGGCCCCTGTGTCCTTGCCCAAACTCAAAAAAAGCCTATGCAAAAGGTACCAGGGGCATCTCAAGGGGCCCCATACTGACCCGGGCCCTCGGGCAGTGCCCGAGTTTCCAAATGGTCAGTCCGCCGCTGCCACCGACACGCATAAACTGAATGCTGCTCCAAGCCACTGTGTAGCTGCAGCCTGGCAGCCCCCAACATATAACTGGCTGCCAATCATTCAAGCTGAACATGCCCAGCTAAATGATCCATACAATTTCACAAAAGAACTGAGGTATACACTGAATGTCTGCCAGGGAAATCAGTCATATGAAAAGCGGCTTCAGCAAATCTCTTCCCATGCCCCTTTAACACATTTCACCTTCCCTCGGGCTTAGTCTTAGAGGTCAATGACTGCCCGGGGTAGGGTGGAATGCACTAGAAGAGCATGGCATGGGAGGAGACTCGCTAGGGCCACTTTTCATATGAAAGTTTCACTTGGATGTCATTTGGTGTGTGCCTAGCTCCATTTGTTTATTAAATGGTAAACGCACCAGCCTAAATGCTCATTCACACATTAATAAATTCTAGTGGCCAGAATATATTAATATTCTGGCCAATAGGATGCATGTTCTGTATGTTCATAAACGCGTGCAAATATACATAAATGTGTATGTATTACGCAGCTTTTATCGTGTTTTTTAACCAACATTTTTCTTGCCAGAAGAAAAGGATATCAGAGAGGCTGAGCAAGTCCCCCGTGTGCATGGGGCCTATGTGTTCATCACCAATTGTTGGAGGAAACTTTTCTTAAAGAATTGGCAAACCCATACACCAAAATCTCTTTAGTTTTAACCGGGTAATTAAATTGCTTTTAAAAAGTTATTTTTATTAGTGGTAAATCTGCAGTTTTCATTAAAATATTACCTGGTGATCCTGCCATGAAAATCGTTGTTCAGGCACTTCATGTATAGGGTTGACAGCCTTGCTCCTGCATTGTTACCTTGCTATATGGGCTCGCTGGAGAACATGTAGAGAGGTAGTGGCTATAAAGAGGTTTTGAGAAATCAGCATCACTGAGATTCAACAAAGGATGAAAAAAAAAAAGCAAAAATGCAATTGTTCAAGATACACATTGCTTTAACAAACTTAATGTCCTTACGTTAGGGTTTACAGTATATACAGTATAGTTTAAAACATTATGCTGGAAAATCCAACAAGGCACTCTGGTGCAAGAAGGCTTATACAGTTGCAAGAAAAAGTATGTGAACCCCTTGGGATTACGTGGAGTTTTGCATGAATTGGGCATAAAATGTGCTTTGAACGTCATCTAAGTCACAACAATAGAAGAACACAGTCTGCTGAACATAATACTACACAAACATTAGATGTTGCCATGGTTTAATTGCACATAACATGTAAACATTCACAGTGCAGGGAGGAAAAAGTATGTGAGGCCATAGCTTAATGACTTCTCCCAGAGCTAATTGGAGCCAGGAGTAAGCCAACCTTGACTCCAATCAGTGTGATGATATTGGATGTGTTGCTGACAGCTGTCCTGCCCTTAAAAAAACACACACCTGTTTTGGGTTTACTGGTTTTAAGAAGAACTGTCTGATGTGAACCATGCCTCGCAGAAAAGAGCTCTCAGAAGACCTAAGCTCAAGAATTGTTGACTTGCATGAAGCTGGAAAGGGTTACAAAAGTATCTCCAAAAGCCTTGATGTTCGTGTCCACGGTAAGACAGACTGTCTACAAATGGAGAAAGTTTAGCACTGTTGCTACTCTCCCTAGGCGTGGTTGTCCTGTAAAAAATGACTGCAAGAGCACAGCGCAGAATGCTACATGAGGTAAAGAAGAATCCCAGAGTGTCAGCTAAAGACCTACAGAAATCTCTGGCACATGCTAACATTTTTGTTGACACATCTACAATAAGGAAAACATTAAACAAGAATGGAGTACATGGGAGGACACCACGGAGGAAGCCATTGCTGTCCAAAAAGAATATTGCAGCACGTTTGAAGTTTGCAAAAGAGCACCTGGATGTTCCACAGCACTACTGGCAGAATATACTGTGGACAGATGACACCAAGATTGAGTTGTTTGGGAAGAACACACAACGCTATGTGTGGAGAAAAAAAGGCACAGCACACCAACATCAAAACCTCATCCTCACTGTAAAACATGGTGGAGGGAGCATCATGGTTTGGGGCTGCTTTGCTGCCTCAGGGCCTGGACGGATTGTTGTCATTGATGGGAAAATGAATTCCAGAGTTTATCAAGACATTTTGCAGGAAAACGTACGACCATCTGTCCGCCAACTGAAGCTCCGCAGAGGATGGGTGATGCAACAGGACAATGACCCAAAGCATACAAGTAATTCAACAAAACAATGGCTGCAACAGCACAGAATACGCCTTCTGGAGTGGCCCAGTCAGAGTCCTGACCTGAACCCGATTGAAATGCTGTGGCATGACCTTAAGAGAGCGATTCACACCAGACATCCCAAGAATATTGCTACACTGAAACAGTTTTGTGAAGAGGTTATTGGAGGGTGGTCCAAAATTACTCCAGATCGTTGTGCAGACTGTGTCTGATCTGCAACTACAGGAAACGTTTGGTTCACATACTTTTTCTTTGTATATGTAGGTTATTGCTGTTAGCCAAAGGGAGGTTCAACCAGAAACCCTTATTAAGTCCAAAGGTTCACATACCTTTTCCTCCCTTGCACTGTGAAAAAATGTTTACATGTTATGTGCAATTAAACCATGGTAACATCTAATGTTTGTGTAAAGTATTATGTTCAGCAGACTGTGTTCTTCTATTGTTGTGACTTAGATGACGTTCAAAGCACATTTTATGCCCAATTCATGCAAAACTCCACGTAATCCCAAGGGGTTCACATACTTTTTCTTGCAACTGTATATGTAGGATCACTGGAAAGCTATTATTGGTTCCTACAAAGATATTTGTTAGCATCATAAGGAGGATGCATTACTCTAGTGAAGCCTTTCTGCATGTGTTTTAACATGGAGGAACCCTTAAAATAACTTTCTAGTCTCAGGCCACCCCTACTAATAATTACTATCTAAAGCTCATGGTACTGAAGTGCGATAGTCACTAGAAAGAATGCTCCTTACAGTTGTGATCAATGGGAAAAATCCCACAGATAGCTAAAAATCACATTGCTGTCTGTGATTACTCATCGCGAAGCCAAAAGTTTCCCATTGCTCAGGGAACCCCCAGCAAGTCCAGAAGGAACCTTAGGATTCCCTGAAACCCTGACTGAGAAAGTTCACAAACTGGTCAGCTAACAAATGTCTGTCTAGCAACCAATAACGTATTATCCTACATGTACAGGCCTCCAACTCTTGTATTGGATCTTACTACAGGAAGTCATAGGTGCACCTGAGAGATAAAGGCTCATTTTTCCAAGCCTTATTAAACTGATTTATTGTATAACAAAGCCTGTCAGGGTTGCAATGGGTGAGCAGAGTCAGAGCTTGAGATGGTAAGGACTTTTAAATTCTGAAGTCCATACAAAACTGAATATTAAGTTAAGAGCAGGTTGATCTTTTAAGGAGGAGATGTATAGTTACTCTCAGAAGCTGTAGAAAACTTTATGAACTTTGCAAGCATGGAAAGTAATCATTTTTATTGGATGATAAATGATAAGAAAAGTCACTTAAATATATACATTATATAAAGTCCTTTCTGACCTTCAGCCAGTTCATTTTCATTTTAAAGGAGATTATGATGACAAGTTCATTGTAACCTGACCTACTCCTATTTTCTTAATCTAAGAATAGCACATTCTAGGCTCCTTGCCACCTATGCAGGATAGCAGCTGTTTCCAGGATTATTTCCCAGCCTGCTCTTTCAGCTGCATTTTACTGACCAAAAAAAGGAAAGGTATTTCCATTTTCTGCTAAGAACAGTATACTGAACAAGTGCAAGCCTGCAGCTCAGGAATTACCTTTGTCTCACAAACTGCTATAATGGAGCCTATTGTTGAGGATGAACTCAACATCCCCAAAACTGCAACTGAAAAATGTTCCTAATTAAGTACCTAATAAAAAAATCTTTACAAATTGCAGAGAACCTTTTACAAATTAAAAAATGCTTCTTGGGCAAGTGAAGGAAACCTGTAATATTTTTCAAGCAAATAATTCCTGCACATTCAAGCAATTTTAATTTATAAATATAATCATCCTTCAAATATATATATATATATATATTTGATGATTATTGTATTTATAAATTAACCGCTTCCCATCCGCCCATAGTCTATAGACAGCGGATGGGAAGCTGTGCCTATACAGGCTAATGTACCTGTACATCAGCAGCTCCTGCACAGCTCACAGAGCGTGCACCTGGGAGCCAGGCGATCATTATGCTGCCCGGACACAGTGGATCACATTACCATTTTGTCCGGGTGATCACATGGTGTTTTACTATGTGATTGCTGTGTCCAATCACAGCAATCACATAGTAAACAATCAAAGTGAAAGTGTACAGTTCGGTTCTCTGCTCTCACTGCAAGAGCAGAGAGAACCGACGCAGCAGCCTGTGAGTGTACAGCAGCTTTTCAGGCTACATGTACACTCACAGACTGCTGGGCCAGCCACCCCAATGTTCCTGATCACTGCCCTAGGGAAGTCCTAATAAACAATGCAGCTAGCCTCTATCACCTGTCCCAGTGCTCACATAACACTGCCATACACCATAGCAGCGCCCTGATCACCGCCATATGCAATACCAGCACCCTGATCACCGCCATACACCATACCAGTGTTCTGATCATCGCCATACCCCATATCAGCTCCCTGATCACTGCCATATGCAATACCAGCATTCTGACCACTGTCATACCCCATACCAGCATCCTGATCACCACCATACTCCATACTAGCATCCTGATCACCGCCATACCCCATACAAGTATCCTGGTATGAGGTCCTGATCGCCGTCATACTCCATACCAGCATCCTGATCACCGCCATACCCCATACCAGCATCCTGGTATGGGGTCCTGATCGCCATCATACTCCATATCAGCGTCCTGATCACCACCATACCAGTGTTCTGATTACTGCTATACTCCATACCAGTGTCCTGATCACCACCATACCCCATACCAGTATCCTGATCACCACCATACCCCATACCAGTATTCTGATCATACCCCATACCCCATACCAGCATCCTGATCACCGCCATACTCCATACCAGTGTCCTGATCACCACCATACCCCATACCAGTATTCTGATCACCGACATACCCCATACCAGCATCCTGATCACCGCCATACTCCATACCAGTGTCCTGATCACCTCCATACCAGTGTCCTGATCACCACCATATCCCATACCAGTGTTCTGATTACCGCCATACCTCATGCCAAAGTCTTGATCACTGCCATACGTCATACCAGAGTCCGGCATTTTAGGGTCTCAACTGATCAATTCTCAAATATATTTCCCATAGTTTGTAGACTCTATAGCTTTCACACAGTCTAAATAATATAAACTGTTTTGAGTTATTTTTACCAAGAAAATGTAGCAGAATTCATTTTGGCCCAAATTTATGAAGAAAAATTATTTATTTGCAAAATTTTATAACAAAAACTACACAAAAATGATTTTTTTTTTAATTTTCAGTATTTTTTCATCTATATAGCAAAAAAATAAATACCAAGTGGTGATCAAATACCACCAAAAGAAAGCTCTACCTGTCTCAAAAAAAAATATAAAAATGTCATATGGGTACAGTGTTGCATGACTGAGTAATTTTCACTCTAAGTGTGATAGTGCTGAAAGCTGAAAATTGGCCTGGACTGGAGGGGGGTGAAAGTGTTCAGACTTGAAGTGGTTAATATGAGTTTAATGGGGTAGGTCAGTGGTCGGCAAGCCGCGGCTCGCGAGCCACATGCGGCTCTTTACACTCTTTAATGCGGCTCTTCTGTGTGCCGGGCGCCCGCTCCCCTCCCTCCTCTCGGGCGGCCGCCCCAAAAGTCAGGACTCTGCAGCTAGCCCAGCAATGGGCAAACTACGGCCCGGCGGACCTTTTAATCCGGCCCGCGGAGCGTGGCAAACATTGGCTGTCAGGATGTAGGCGGGGCAGCGTGACGAACTCCTCTCCTCTCACAGTCCGCCCTGAAGACCGGAACGGCGCGGGAACACGGCGAGAGGAACGCGCGGAGCAAAGGTAAGTGAATTGACACAATATGGGGAATGAATTACTATAGGGGGGATGAATTACTATATGGGGATGATGAATTACTATATGGGGGATGAATTACTATGTGGGATGAATTACTATATGGGGGATTAATTACTATGGGGGATGAATTACTATATGGGGGATGAATTACTATGGGGGGATGAATTACTATATGGGGGATGAATTACTATGGGGGATGAATTACTATATGGGGGATGAATTACTATATGGGGGATGAATTACTATGGGGGGTGAATTACTATATGGGGGATGAATTACTATGGGGGGTGAATTACTATATGGGGGATTAATTACTATGGGGGATGAATTACTATATGGGGGATGAATTACTATAGGGGGGATGAATTACTATAGGGGGGGTGAATTACTATATGGGGGATGAATTACTATGGGGGATGAATTACTATATGGGGGATGAATTACTATGGGGGATGAATTACTATATGGGGGATGAATTACTATGGGGGATGAATTACTATATGGGGGATGAATTACTATGGGGGATGAATTACTATATGGGGGATGAATTACTATATGGGGGATGAATTACTATATGGGGGATGTATTTTCAGTTTTAAAAATGTGGCTCTCAAAATAAATTTCAATCGTGGTTTTGGCGAGATTTGGTTGACAGCCCACTAGATGGCGATAATTGGTATACAATTGGTTTGGACAATGTAGTTTATATATATAAAGAGGGGAGTGACAGAGGGTGAGCACTGATCCCTGAAGATTTCCTACCGATGAAAGGCGTTGGGTGGGGCTACATTCATAACATAATTTCTGCCATTTGGACCACATGGCCATATTGGAACACAGGCAGCAGTGTTCTACAGCAAACACATGGGCTGATTTTATCCCTATCTTTATTATGCTATTGGTGGCCTTGCTTGTTTTTTGAGCAATGGAGGTGGTTGTAAGAGATGTTTAATAGTGACACCTGGGGAAAAAGTAGCCTGGAGGAGCTGGATTACACAAAGCGCATGGGACCTTCTTATTTATAAGGGGGCGAATGTCATTTGGTGAGTGCAACACAAGAGGGGTATGTGTGGAATCACTTGACGTTCATTAGATTGGATTGGACAGGGAGCACAGCATTGGTGGAATGGAACAGATTGCAAGTTGGCAAAAGAAGGAGTTATCTTTTTTTTGTGGACCTTTATCAGAGACATGATTTTGGAAATAATGCACATGGTTTTATGATTTGAAGCACAAATGGTTATGGTTCACCACAAATGCTATGAATTTAAAATGAAGGCACATTTAGTGTTAATTTTGATGGTTCATTTAAGAGCTGCTGCTCTGGTATTTGCAGAATTTTAATGTATTTTTCTTTGGCTGACCCGACCTCATTGCTGAATTCTTCCCTGCAACTGAGATGCTTGTTCTAGAACTTGTATGTGACCTACGTGCTAGGCCCTTTGACTTCCTGTACCAAAACTAGTCTCATGTTAGGGTACTCTAAAGCTGTGCTCTAGCTATGTTCTATTAAAATGGCTAACTGATACAGTGATCTATTACAGTGCTATACAAAAGGAGAGCATAGTTATGACTTGGGACAGCAGCCCCTAAATAAACAACATAAAAATAAATAAAGAAACAACAGACACCAACGTAAATTGCAATGTCTTTATTTGGTTCATGAAACTCTATTGAGGTTTAACTAATTAAATTAACCATAAACACTAATAACCATAAGGTTTAATAAACACCACAACAGTTTAAATAACTCTATTATAATAACTTTAATCACCGAAACCAGACTCGGTCATTTATGCTCCAGTCCACCAACAAATAATAAATCAACAGCTAAGGCTGAGCCCTTGAGTTCCCATTCACACTTGAACGTGAGCCTTTTCATGCAATTTTGAAGCATTTTTTCATCTGGTTTTAGGTTTTGGGCATTTTTTATTTTAGCCAGTAAAAGCAGTTTCATATGTCATTATTATCCTTGTACCCGTCTTCTGGTTTTCCTGTGTAATGTCTTATTCTATCAGAGCTCTTGAGCTATGTCTGCTATTCCAGTTTCTTCCTAGGCCCTCTACTTGCCACAGTTTTTGTAATTCCACCTTTATCAACCAGGGTGCCATGGCACACTGAGGTGCCTTTTGGGTTCTTCAGGGGTGTCTTGGAAAAAATGCCCTAAAGTTGCCCCAAATTGTCCAAAAAATGTCAACAAGCCAGCAAGTGTGTAATAGGGCATATGATTGGCTGTGTGTTGTGCCAACTATACATGTCCCCACCCACTTTTTCTTGGATAGGACAGCTAACCACCTACTGGTAGATGGAACCCTTCACCATATTGTGTCAAATTCTGGCTGTAGGCCCACTCATGATGTTCCTGGCTAGAGGCATTGATATTTAGAAACAAATAAATGTTACATAAATACCTGAAATACATTTTGATTACTTTCGCCACACCAGACTGCATCTAACCCACACTCAGCGGAAGTCGGCAGGATATGCCACTATTCGCAGCAGGTGTGGAAGGACTAGCGACACTAACAGTAGAGGACTTGGCCTTGATGCTCAAGTTCTATGGGTCCAACATTTCCCTGTCAGAGTGGAAGGAGAAACTATAGAGTGCCAACCACCCGTACCAGGTTCCTGCCCAAGTAATCTTGGAACTGGCCATCAACTCCCTAGAGAATGACACCAGCAGAGTTGTGAAGGTGCTGCCAAAGGATGTTCGGTTTAGCCTGGAACAGATTGTGCCACACCCAGATGGTCTTGGGATAGTCCCCAAGCTGAGGCAGAGGTTCTTTGTTCACAGACAGCAAGAAGATGAAAGCCTCACCCATTTTGTGGGGGCATCCAGAGCCTATGAAATCACCTTGAAAAAAAGGATGTGTACGGCTGTGCCAACATCGCTGCCTCAGATAACTACTCTCCTTTAATGACACTGTAGGGGAGAAGGAGAATGCATAGGAAACAGCATTGATGACTAAGAGAAAGGAACCCATCTCCATGAAGGAGGAATCCCTGTTCTGGATGAGGACTGGAAATTCCAGCAGTGTGGCAGTTTCGGGCACCTCACCCAGAATTGTGGCAGGCCTGAAGCCAAAAGCAACCGCAGGCCATTGTTAAACTAGGAGTTCCAGGTGCTGAGAGATGACCCCTGGGAACAGCAACCCAAGGTCCACCAGATCAGAAGCTATGGTCGTACCCAGTCCAGTAGTCACCACCTTGGTTAATGGTCAGGAGGTCCACTGTCTGATTGATATGATGATGGAGGTGACTGTTATGGAAAACGATTTTTACAGACAGAGATTCAGGACTAGAGACCAACTGGACCCTTCCTAGCTATCCCTAAAACAGCCAATAACCTACCCATCCTGGTAGAGGGCATCACCTGGGTGAGAATCCAGATAGAGGACCAAGTGATTTAAAGAGTGGGAGAGGTGGTGATCCATTGCCTAGTGAGCTCAGCCATATCCATTGTCCTGCATTATGTAAAATGATTAGCTTATTTGTTACATTTTAGAATGGGATGCCTCAAGATGTTCAGCACTTTAAAGGATGCCTTGACTGAAAATAGGTTGAAAAACACTGTTGTAATTGGCTTTGCTAGGGTCATAAATGTTCTTACGGTGCCTCATCAGGCTAATGAAAGTCTCTGCATTCAACATGGATACTTCTGATGTCTTCATTTTATTTGCAGGCTTGAGGTTGCTAGGAGGAAGAGACTGGCCATAAAGTGTAAAAATAATTCACACAGCTACTAAGGACATTTACAGTAATAATGCTCTTATCTATTTACACACAACTATAAACACAGAGAAAAAGATTTTGGAATGTTCTTTTAGTACTATAGAAATGGATGTTGTTTGCTTTCACTACGGTGTTCTATATTGGCATATACACTATAATGTCAAACGTATTGGGCCAGCCCTCCAAATCATTGGATTCAAATGTTCCAATCACCTCCATGGCCACAGGTGTATAAAATCAAGCACTTAGGCATGCAGACTGCTTCTACAAACATTTGTTAAAGAATGGGTCGCTCTCAGGAG